CACGGGACTGTAAGAGGACCTGGGCGGAGATTGAACTATAAGCTCAGAAAGCCGGCATCTACTCTGTGTCTATAGTGCCACCCTGACGGTGGGAGGCCAGGAGAGCGTCTGAGAACCAGACAACCACACAAACACAAGGTGTTTCTGAGGGTGGGCTGCAGCCCCCGGCCAATTGTCACACCTCCCAGACTCAGCTGGCCGTTCCGATGCCCAGTGGGAGCTTGGAACGCTTCTGTTGGAAGCAGCCTCTTCACTGGTGTGGCGGTCACATTCAGGTCAAGTCCCAGTAGCACTGTGTGGCCAACCCCGTGACGGGGTCTTCCGCGACGCAGCCAAGTGTGTGTCAAGAATAGTTTGGGGTGAAGCACAAACCAAAACTCTCACCAAGTCGATCCCAACGCACAGCGACCCGTGGTGCCGAGCGGAACGGCCCTGTGGGTTTCCGAGACCCTCACTCTGTTCAGGAGTAGAGAGTGTCATCTTTCTGCCGGCTTCACACCGCTGACCTTGTGCTTAGCAGCCCAACTCGAAACCACTCCGCCACCGGGGCGCCTCGTGGCACCTTAGCGCACCGTCAGAGCCGGTGGAGGGTTTATTTCATCATACACTGCGTATGTCCTTTTTGTCGTAAAAATGTTACCGACAGCGTTTTCCAACTCGATCATTTTTCCATTGATCGTGGTCTGTAACCATCACCAATATCGGTTGCCAAATTCTACATATCCGTAAACAATCATGCTAAGCTACCTAAATGGTGACCCCTGTCTCCTCCCAGCACTCCTGCCCCCGGTCACTGCTGTGAAACCCTCCCTCGCCTCCAAAAACACAAACACAAACCCACTGCCACCGGGGCGATGCCAACTCTTAGAGATCTGACAGGACAGGGTAGAACGGCCCTGTGGGTTTCTGAGACTGTCACTCTACGGGCGCAGACAGCCTCATCTTTCTCCCACAGAGCAGCGGGCAGGTTTGAACTGCTGACCGTGTGCTTGGGTGAGCAGTACAGTGTTTGGCCCACTCAGCCACCAGGGCTCTGTGGAGTTGCTAATCCAACGCAATTGCAATCGCAGCACCCCAAAAGAAAGATTTGCCCCAGCTTGGAGCTGAGCAGGGAGCCCTGGCCCTGGTGGAGCAGCGGGTTGCTTGGTACCTTGCTAACCACAAGGTGTGCAGTTCAAAACCACCAGCTGCTCTGCAGGAGGAAGACGGGGTTTTCCACCCCCGTAAGGACAGTCCCGGGAGCGGTTCTACTCTGTCCTACAGGGTCTCTGCGAGTGGGCAAGGACTCGGTGGCAGTGGGTTTGCCTTGGGGTGGGGTGGTGCGGTGTGGTGGGGCTTGGCTTGGTGTGCTTTGGTGTGGATGCTGAGCTGAGTGCTAAATAAAAGCAGACGCTTGCTAGCTTGCAGCTCAGTTCCTTCTTCCTGGGCCCTCCTTTCTCCTTCCGGCCTCATCTGTTTAACCTCAGACATCTCAGGAGAGATGTGGTGTTCTGAAATGCAAGCCTGGGGCAAAATGGGTGATTTCCATAAACGGAGACACCTGCCCGACCTGCCCACACCAGAGCCTCCGGAAATGGGGCAGCAGGAGACGGCCTGACCCCCAGCAGGCGAGAGGTCTGTGCTGAATGATAGGGGCACGTACCTGGGGCTGCCGTCCAGGGAGCTGGCAAGGTGGCCGCCTCTGCCATGGCGGGCCGGGCCGGCGGGCCAGGGCAAGCCCCGCAGGGCCATCTGAAGGTCACAGACAATGGTTCCTGCTCCCTCTGCACCTTCCCTGCAGTGACAGTAAAGCCAGCGCTGTGGAGGCGCCCCGAGGCCACGGGCCCTGCGTGAGCTTGCAGTGTCCCATCACTTCTCGGCACGTATATTTGAGGCTGACAAACGGAACTGATGGGCATAAGGACAAACGCCTGTCCGCTGCCTGCTAATTCGGACGGGGGCATTTTAAAGACCGTGCCCATCAAGCATTAGCTAAGCATTTCCGGCTAATGGACCACGCAGTCCTGGTTTGGCCCCACCCCCACCCCTCCTCATGCAAACTCCAGGAGCATCACGCGCCACCCCGTTCTCACGGCAACATCAATTATGAATATGTATCTTTTCGCTGACGAGGGCCTTGCACTAAATGTGGGTTTCGTTATCCGGTTCCGGGTCATTAGCGGCGGAAGGCTTGTACATATAATGGCCTACTCACGTGGGAAGCCTTCATTAAGATGCATTACTCCACAGCTGATGAACTCCAGTCTGGCGTGTGCGGCTCTGTCCCCTGCCTCCCTTTAATACCCGCCATTTATTTTTAAATGAGCTGCCAGGGCATGGGTCGAATCTGCACATTTGAATTCCACGTGACCAGGCAAACGTGGCGAGAGAGGAGAAAGACGTCTTAGCCCCAAGGAAGAACAGATCATGAGCACGGCCCCCCAGAGACCACCAGCCCCCAAACGCGGGGCATCTCGGGAGAGGGGCTGCCGGTGGCCCCCTCGCAAGTTTGTGTCAGAGAAGGGGGGGGCACAGGAAAGCACCTGCACCCACAGCATGGCTGATGGTGGTGGGGGGGGGACTCGGGGTGAGAGTCATGAAACCTTACCGTGGCCACCTCCTCCACCTGGGGGACGCAGGCGGGCGTGGGGTGTAGAGCGGGAATCGTGACTCTGAGTGGTCTGAATGACCTCCAGCCACGGCACTCCACAACTGGGGGAGAAGTGCTCAGCTTTAGACTGGGCTTCATGGGCAAGCCCTGGTCAACCTGCAGACCCTGAAGGAGGGTTCCTTCTCACACGGAGATAGAACGACATAGAAGATGCCGGCAGCACCCTGGAGAAGCCCTTCTTGGAGAGCTTTGTCAGTAGACTCAAGAACTCACTGCCATTGCATGTATTCCGATGGCGAGAGGCCCTGGAAGGCGGAGTGGAACTGTCCCTGTGGGTTTCTGTGACCGGAGCTCTCTACCGGAGCAGACAGCCTCATCTTCCTCCCACAGAGTGTCCCCTGGGTTTGAACATCTGACTTTGCGGTTGGCAACCCCACGTGTAGCCCACAGGGCTCCCAGTCTGTAGAGGACCTGATGGGACCAGCCTTGGGTCAGGCTTCTTGCCTCCACACTGTCTTCCGGGATAGTCTCTCTTCTCCTGCTCACCAAGGGGGACTCGGGAAAGCCCCAATTCTGAACTTGGAATGATTGAGTGGCTGTGAATGTGTGAGGGTTCCTGGGGGCACAGAGGTCATAGCGCTCCCCTGCTAACCGAAAGCCCATCCCCTCAAACCCACCAGCGCATCTGCTCCTCCGGGGAAAGATAAGACAGCCTTGCAAAAATGCGTTGGTGAGAACGAGGGGGGTCAGAGCAGAGGCCCAAAGCCCATCTGCGGACAATGGAGCATCCCTGCACAGAGGGGCAGGGAAGGGATGAGTCCACCAGGGTGCAGTAGAGCCCGGATGGATCAAGCAATAGACCTCTGGTTCCTTCAGCCCCACCCCCACCCCCCATTATCGTGACCCCAGTGCTGCTTCCTACTCTGGACTGGACCGAAACACGTCCATAGGTATAGACAAGAGATAAAGCTCACTGGACACACGGCACCCAGGAACAGGAATGGGAGCAGTGACAGGAAAAGGGGGGGGAAGGAAGGGGGAACCGATTACCATGATGGGCACAGAACCACACACACCCTTCCAGGGGAAGAACAGCAGAAGCCGTAGGGGAAGGGAGACAGCAGTCAGTGTGAGATAGGAAGATAACAGCAATCTACAATCTATCAAGGGGCCTCGAGGGTGGGGTGGGGGGAGAGGGAAGAAAAGAGGAGCTGATCCCAAGGGCTCACTAGAAAGTAAATGTCTAGAAAAGAACGATGTCAACTTGTGTACAAAAATGTCTGACACCATTGATGTATGGATTGTAACAGGAGTTGTAAGAGCCCCCAATAAACTGATCTTTAAAAGAAAAAGAGTCTAGCCTTGGAAACCCTATGGGGGGTTTCTGTGCTGTCCTATAGGGCTGCTTTGAGCCGGCGATGGGGATTGAAGATGCGTCTTTCTAACTAACGGCCCACATCATGACGGGGAATCATTTCTTCACATGCCTCTGCCGCATCGAATCCTTTGCTCTGTGTGGCGTTGTTGGGTCCGACCCCGAGTGACTAGGTGCACAACAGAAAGAAACGCCACCCGGCCCGGCACCAAACATCCTTCTGTTTGAGCCCATGGTTGCAACCCCTGTGTCCATCCATCTTGTCCAGGCTCAGTCCTCTTTGTCCCTGCCCCTCTACTTTACCAAACACGTCCTTCTCCAGGGACTGGTCTCCCCAGACCACGTGTCCAAAGCACGTGAGAGGATGTCTCACCATCCTTGCCTCTCAGGAGCGTTCTGACTATCCTTCTTCCAGGGCACATGTGTTTACTCTGCGTGTATTTCTTATGAATCATTAGTTTAAAACAAAAACAAAACAAACACAGGAAACCTGCAGTTAAGGAGACAATTCCAACTCCCTGGCAACTGCCCTGTCTCCACTGGGTTTTCTCAGCTGGAGTCTTGACAGGAGCAGATCACAGGCCACTTGGTTTGCTCTCAACCGCTAACCAGAAGCTTGGTGGGTGTCAGACTGCTAACTGCAAGGTTGGTGGTTCAAACCCCCCAGCCGCTCCTTGAGAGAAAGATGAGACCAGTTTGCTCCTGGACAGTTGTACGGCCTTGAAATTCCGAATAAGGTCGCTGTGGATCGGAATGGACTTGTGGGCTTGGGGTTGAGAAGGTCATGCGTTCGAAACCACCAACTGCTCCCCAGGAGAAAGATGAGGCTTTTCTACTGCCATCAATCCATTGAAGTCTCAGAAACTGACGGGCCGTTCTGAGCGGTCCTGTGGGGCTACTGAGCATGGGAATGAACTGGCTGGTGATGGGTTTAAGAGTTTGGGGAGGGCTCGGGGTCTTGTGGGAGCCACTGGTAACCCCGGTACACGTACAGTTCCCTCCACAGCCCTCAGGCGTCTGCGCTTGTGTCCGCAGAGCCCCCCGCCGCAGTTTCACCAGGTCAGCGCCACCCTGATGCAGGCCCAGAAGGTGCAGTCCTGGCGCAACGATGTGCAGCTGAAGCATGAGGAGGACTACAGGGAGGCCCTGGTCACCATCAAGGACAACCTGAAGCTGGTGGAGGGCCCCGACATCAAGGACAGCCTGCAGGACCAGATCCGTCACTGGTTCATCGAGTGCAGGTGAGCAAGCCACTCTGGGCTCCACGTGACCAGCCCAGGCCAGTGGGGAGGGGGGCCTTCTGGGCTTCCTGTCAGCAAAGTGAGGGTCCAGGACATGAGTCTTGTTGAAGCGTGGCCCATGATGCTTCTATGAGGAGCCCCGGGCGTGGACAGGGGTGGACAGAGGCGAGCAGTCTTCACCGGCTGTTGAGCTACCAGCAGGGCGGGATGTTCCTCACATAAGATAAGCACGGGCATCCCTGTGCTTGCTGACCAATATGCAGAGGACAACACAACATGGACTCCACGGGAGGTTGCGCAATACAGATGCGTAGGGAAGCACAAGTGAGCCTGTGCTGACGCTGCTGACTGAGTACTCTGCACTTGCCACAAACAAAACAAACTTCGCCCCTGTGGGTTTCTGAGACTGTAACTCTTTATGGGAGTAGAAAGCCTTGTCTGTCTCCCTCGGAGCAGCTGGTGGTTTTGAACCGCTGAGCTTGCTGTTAGCAGCTCAAAGTGAAATCACCAGGGCTCCTCTGCCAATCCTTGCCAGGGCTTGTAAATTGGCCAAGAGACTTGGGCTCAGGGGGTGGGGGCTGGGGGCGCTGGCGGCTAAGAGACAGATGCCAGCCAGACCTGGAAGCTGAACCACTGATGAGTAAAACTCATGGGAGATTGTGCTCTGCAGGTCAGTAAGTAAGCACAAGTCAGCCTGCGCTTACCTTGCTAAGAAGATACTCTGGGCCTGCCTTTGATCCTTGGAGGGAGGGTCCGGGGACCTGGATGGTGTCTCCCCCTGTCAAGCTTCTCACCTCCCTTCCCTGCCCCTTGGCCTCTGCATCCCTGCCTCCCCATGAATGGTTTCCTCTACTCGACCCCCCCCCCCACCAGGGGCACTGTACAACACCAACACCACAAACTGTCTGAGTGGAAACCCCTGCCCCCCCAAGACATCTGTGCGACCCGGGGCCAGCCACCTTCCGGGGGGGCCAGCATCTGTGCCTGTAATACAAGGGCCTCCTCTGGCTGGCTGTCCATCAACCCGGAGGGTTTAGGCCACGTGTGGGGCCACAGTAACTCACACTTTATTCACACCAGCCACTCACTCGTGTTTTTGTATTGTTAGCTGCCATCAAGTCTATTTCTGGCACACAGCGCCCCTTAAGGGCAGAGTAGGGTGTCCCCGCGGGGTTCCCTAGCCTGACCTCCTAGGGGGAACAGGTGCTCAGGTCTTCCCAGAAGCCATTGCATGGCTGCTTCGAACCACTGACCTTGTGGTTAGTAGCTGAGCAATGAACTGTCGTGTCAACAGGATTCCGCTTCGTGGAATCCCCTTCTGAATAAACTAAACCGGGTGCTACCCAGCTCGGGAATCCCACGTCTAAGCGGTGCTCGCACAAGCCAGCAGGACGGACGTTTTCCTGTTCTTCTCCAGTGGCCTGACTGCATGCGTCCAGGGGAAATAGATGTGGGGTCACTGTGTGCACCCCAGGTGGTGCTGGGTGTCCTGGACACATCCCACATCCCAGGGCTAGTGACAAGGCCTGGGCACTCGCTCCTGCGTTGTTGAAAGTCCGGGTACCACACACTCCCCTCCCTGCGCCCACAGTCTCAGCGACCGGATGGCGTTCAGCAACGCATTTTCTGCCAACGAAAGGGCTCTGTTGGTTGTCCATGTCTGAAAGGACCTCGTCCGCCGCTGAAGACTTCCAAGTCTGCCTCAGTTTGACTTTTTCTCCTTTTTCAGCCACTCAGACTGAGGTTTCTACCCAAGAAGTCAGGAACCTAGAGGGCAGGGGGCCCTCACTCTTGGGGGTTTGGTGGTGGTGGTGTTTTTAGAAGCATATTCCATGGCGTTGGACAGCCCATCTCAGCAAATGGATCAGTAATAAGATCCCATGAAACCCTCCAGCAATGTGGTTCTCTTCGCCCTTTCTCCCTCCCCCCTTCCCTCCCTCTATAATGTCCTATCCCTGCCCCCTCCCTGCCCCTGCCCACCCTCACCTCCTCATGGTCTTCAAAGGCTTCTCTTTTGGGGTTAAAACCACTTTTCCATTCCTTTGGTTTTCTGTATAATAATGGCATGATTAAGTATGTGGTCCTGGACTTTTACGGAAAGCCAACCAAATCCACACCCTTTGCCATTGAGTCAGATCCTAAATGGCAGCAGAGTTGCCTGAGAACCAGAGCCCGAGCCTCAGCAGGCAAGTCAATTCCGACTCAGTTCACCCCCCACCCCTCACCCCAGAGGACATAGTAGAACTGTCCCACTGGGTTTCCGAGGCTCTAAATCCTTCTGGGAGAAGACAGCCTCATCTTTCTTCCACGGAGCGGCCTGTGGGTTTGAACCACCCACCTTTCAATTAACAACTGAGTCCTTGACCACCACATACCACCAAGGGCCACTACTCATATTTGGAATTTTGAAAACCAGATATATTCAGTGACAGAAACCATGTTGAAAGCATTCTGTGCTGTAACAATCCCCACGTAAATTAAGAACACACACAGACACACAGAGACGCACAGACGTGTGGGCTGTGGACTGTATGTTTGTATGTACCTGGAAAACTTCTGGAAGAGTGCGCAGTTAACTGTTGGGATGGCGGCCTCTGGAAACTAGAGGAGGGGCATTTTAGAGTTTTACGTTTTTCTCTACTGTTGGATACCTTGTATTCCACACCCCATCCCGTCCCCGCTAATGGGGAGTCCCGGTTGCACGGTGGTAACATGTTGGGCTAGTAGCCGCAAGGTTGGCAGTTCAAAATCACCAGCCCCTCCATGGGAGAAAGAGGAGTCTGTCTGCCCCCATACACAGTCACCGTCTGAGGAGCCCACAGGGCCAAGCCTCCTCTGCCCGGCGGGGTCACTGTGATTTGAAATGGGCTCAGTGACTGGGAGTTGAGTATTGGTTTCATAATAAAAGACCTAGTGACAACACATGGGGGCAGGGGAAGGAGGAAGAAAAGCAACCAATTTGGGATAATTCAAAATAAACAGTTTTAATCAAATTTTTTAACATCCCTAATTTGAGGAGAGTAGAATGATGCCGCCTTCACAGAGGTTTGGGAAATTGTCCTAGAGGACCAGGGGGGGACAGTCGTGCAGCCAGCCTCCCCACCTGAGGTCCAGGGAGGCCGTGGGAGACTGGAACCTGCCCGGTGGGTCACCCCAGGAGCTGTCCCTTTAATCAACCCGTAGTTGATGGGCTTCCTTTGAAGATTCCAGCCCAGGGGAGCCTCCCTCCTAGTCCCCCTGACCTGGCAGGTTGGGGGTTGCCCCAGAGTAGCCCTCTGGGGCATTCATAAAGGCCTGAGAGCCCTCTTTTGAAGTTAGTATCCCAGGCTGATTTACTTGCATCATTAGATTACATTTATCTGATTAATTTTGAAGGGGGGTGGGGGGAACCCTTTTTTCTTCTGGCTTTTTCCTGAAAACAAAGACAAATGAAAAGAAAATATTATCTTTTAAAACATGAAATGTGATCCGTTGGGTTTAACCCCAAACGGCCAGGGGACAAATGAGACATTACTATTCCTACACCCGAGAAGTCAAACCCCTTCCCGTAGCATAGAAGCATGGCCCCTGTGATTCCCAGGGCTGCCGCCTCTTGTTTTGCTGTTGGGTTAGACTCTATCCCAAATCAGGGCCGGTGTACGGAGCCGGCCATAGGCTCGACCGTCACCGGTCCAGACACATTTTGCTTCATCTCATTGATTGCAGCCCCTCAACAGACCAATCACGGATCTCCACCCCCACCACCCCCACACTCCCTGTTGTCTCCCATCTCTGTGTTTCCTCCTCTCCTAACCCTGCTGACCTTTGCCGGTGGATAAGTGCTGCCCTTTGGATCTCAGAGGGTTGAGGATTTATTCTAAGGCGTCCGCATGTTATTGTTCCCCTTACAGACCTGTTTATTCCTTGGCTGAAATGTCAGACCATTCCAGAACTGAATGGTGACTGAGGGCCATAGTCCTGGGGGCGGGGAGGGGTGGGGATTGTGGGGTGTGGGTCCCCCCAGCCACTCCGGTCTTTTTTGTGATTTTTAGTTCATCCACATTGTCCTCCTACTCTATCTGGGACCTTCTCAGGGGATCCCTTCCAGAGCAATTGGAGAAGAGTCGAGGGTAACTCCCGAGTGCCTGGTCTCAGGGCCCAGGAGCCTGTCTTGCTGTTGTTCAGGTGCCATCCCATTGGTCCAGACCCACAGCAACCCTACGCACAACAGAAGGAAACACAACCTGGTCCTGAGCTGTGATTGGTAGGTTTATTGTGCCAACCTGGCCAGTAGGAACATGGGACATTAATCAGATTGCAGTTTGATTGGAGGGCAAAGAGATAAATGGCTCTGCAAGGCCCACCCCCTCTCTCTTGCTCTCTGGTGATGGGAGCGTGCTGGAGCGTGTGTGCATCATGCAGCTGCTGTAGCTGGTTCTCTGCCTCAACCCATGAGCTCCACTAGCGGTGGGCCAGGCTAACCCACAGATCATGTGGGTTGCATAGATCTCAAAGATCTATCGGGACCTGCTTCACCACATACGTGGCTTGAGCGTGAGGCTGGCGGATCCTGCCGCCTTGCATTGCTTGAGTTCAGCGTTCCCATCTGGGCTTGCTTCACCAAGTTCCCGAGCTACTCACTGTTGCTGACCCACCCTGCTGCCTGCTGCCTGCGGGCAGACTCTGCCTGCCTCGCCCCAGGGAGGACTCGGCTGTCTGCTTCCTTGACCTTGAACCCAGCAACCCACATGAGTTGAAGGACTTCCAGTCTATTAACTGTGCCACGGAAGTGAGTTGAACTGAACCCTCTTTACTGCTGCATGGACTAATTAGCTATTGTATTCCTTCTCCCAATAGAAATATACGTGTCCTGGTTTCGTTTCTCGAAAGAACCCTGCCTGGCATGTGAGCCAGCTGCACATTAATGGCCTATCAGTCCACTGGACTCATTGTTTTTCCCCATGTGTCTTCACTCTCCGTCACCCTTTTCTTCTCTGGACAAGGACAGGCCAATAGTTGCC